AGAAAACTGTACTGCACTTAAAAAATCTGCACCCCTTTTTTGGACCCTCACCCACAGTTTAACAACCCTTTCTTTAAGAAAGTGTGTAGGCTTTTTAAACCTGTTTTCCTAACTGGAGCTACAATGTCTTAATGTTTTTGTAGTGATATTGAGCAGCCTCTGCACATTTCCCAAACCAAGCGTACATCGTTAACTTTACCAAGACGTTTGGAAAGATGCAATGACAACTTCCGGTGAGCTCTGGTTGCAGTAGTAAATCTGACAAAATGTAAGAAAAATTAGAAAATGGTCCAGTTTTCTTCATCTCTATGTCATCGTAGCGTTTCCGTTATGTTCGGCAAATCAACAATTACAACCATACTTCAGTTTTTATCATTTCCCCACTGACACACAACTCCAAGCGCACTGGGTACATGCGATTAGAAGAGATGAGGGCGACAAACATCAGATTATTCCAAACAGCACATAGGTATGCAGTCTTCATTTTACCGCTTTTATCACAGCTGGTCGGCGAGCCCAGTGTCGGGAACTACACCTGAAGTTGTCATTGCATCTTTCCAAACATCTTCCTGGTTTGTGACGTAGGCGTGAATAGAGCCTATTCCAATCATTTGTTAGTTGTGATGGAACTGAAACTTTTGCAGAGCAGTGATATAATAGTACACAGCAAATACAAAAATTTGGCCAAGTTAGGGTTACTTGAATTAAGAAGAAGACAGTTTTATCATGATTTGAGTAAATTTCACTTGACAAGTAAAGTGATCTTGTCCAGGCTGACACCACCTAGTGCCTCCACTCAATTTCATTTCTCTCCAGTGGCTAGGTCAGGAATCAGAATATACTAGATGGTTTGCAAGAACCCCGCGCACTGGCCAATCCGCGAAGAGCTGTGAAGCCATGACGTCAAACTCAATCGTCTGTCTCGGCCCCTTTTGTAGTACAGCACAACAGTAAACAAAGCGGTCGAGATGATGTAGACGAAGACATACATTCTGTGTTGGCAACGATTCCCGAGATCGAGGTTTTAAAGCCGGAACAAAGAGAATGTTTGGTGAATTTTATCGAGAGGAAAGACGTTATTGCCCTTCTTCCTATGGGATTTGGAGCATTACATATGTCACGACCAAATAGCAGCGACTGGTTAAATAAAAAAAGTACCCGCCTACAGTTGAGCGAATGAATCCTAATGCTGCTAGGTCAGACAGTGGACAGTTGAAGTGAACCCGGCTGATGAATCAGGCTAAAGTGACCTACCAATGGAACAAGACTTTTTGTGGTTAAACTCTAGCTGCATTTAAAATAAGAAACCAAATCTAATGTTGACTGAATTAAGAAAAGCACACTTCCACACCAGGTTATTTTACTTGTCAAGTGTAATCTACTCAAATAAAGTCAGATTTTCTTAACTGAAGTCATTTTAACTTGCCTACATGTTGCTTTTTCGCAGTGTATCTCTACCGTCTAGCTCGTTTCCAGTTTCTTGTACGACCACTGCGCTGAAAAGTCCTTCAACACCGTTTTGATCTTCAGACAAAGTGCTCCTCTGTCATACCTTCCATGTTTTAAAGGGCGCACTGTTGTCATCCTCCCCTTTAAAAGCACACATTTGCACACAACTTCAGCTCGCCATCTCCGCGCGTAAAGACCTTGTCAAGCAGTTCCGCACATTGTCAACTGGCCATTCAAACTGCACCGAGTTGTCAGAAAGCTCTCCTCCTCAGCTCTTAGTCAACAAACATAAACTTTGATCTGTTTTTTGCCTGCTGTCTGGCCTAGGGCTGCCCATTTCCAGCCCCTATACTCCAGCGCGCTTTATGGGAATGGCCATTTTTATATTGTGCAGAAATGAATTCGGGGGGACTAATAAAAAACTTACATGACCCGGCCAGCAAGTAGAGAATATATATGAAGGCAGCTCTCCACAAGTCATCCTCCATTTCTCAAGCTAAACCAATGACAGCATGATCGAGATGAGGAGCTGGCATTAAATCAGTGTGCACTCCCGAAGCGCGCATTAAATAATAAATAAAAGATCGTCAAGGCTGCAGTGAGGGAGGTTGTTTACAGCGACGGAAAACAAGATGGCGGCGGATAGAAATGTGGACCTCAGACATGGGTTCGTAAGTCCAGAGAGAAGGGTTAAGTTATCGGTTATCGTGATATTATCGATTATCGTGAGAGTTTGCCCAGACATCAGTTTGATTTTAGTCCTATTTTGAAACCGATATGTGGTACCGATATTTTTTTCCGCACTGTCCTACTGTTTCTTTGCATCAGATTTGTCTTTCAGAGCAAACAATAACTAAAATTATGGTTGGTCCCCTCATTAAAAACATTAACATTACTTTTTAACAATATCCAGATTTTTCGGTAAGATATTTTCACTATTTGCATCTCACGGTACAATATTTACTGCGATCTTTTGTAGAGACTAACAAAATTGTGAATATGCAACTTTTTACTTTTAAAAATGCCTTGACAAGCCCTTGGTTCTGTCATAAACCAAAGAGTTAAGATTTAAAAGTGCTTATAAGAGTTACTTCATTATGTAAACTAACTGGACTGAAACAGAGCAAAGCATCATGGTCTATGTAGTTCCCTCTGTTTCTTTTAGTTATTGCTGCATTATAACAACGCATTTAAGCAAAGAGATTTGAGATTTGACATAATACTGTGATGGCCCACGATATTACTGAGAAACTTTTGACCAGAGGTGGGGACTTGCAAGTCGTGACTTGGACTCGAGTCGGAGTTGAGTCAGTATTTTTAGGACTTGAGACTTGACTTGATAAAATGGACTAAGACTTGGGACTCGACTTGGACTTGAAGGTCAGTGATTTGGGACTTGACTTGGACTTGAGACCTGTGACCTAAGAAGACTTGAGAAGCACTTTTAAATCTGAATTCTTTCTATTCTGATCATGATTCACACTAAGATCTTGTCAAGACATTTAAGAGGAAAAAATAACATTTCTACAACTCTTACATATACTCAAATCTAAGCTATATTTGGTACTTTGGTTTAAAGACTTGAAATGACTTGAAGCTCAAAGCAGACGACTTGGACTTGACTTGGACTTGACTTGGACGTATGGACCAGTGACTCGAGACTCGACTTGGACTTGACTGTATTTGACTTGGGACTTGACTCAGACTTGACGTCAAAAACTTGAGACTTACTTGAGACTTGCAAAACAATGACTTGATCACCACCTCTGCTTTTGACGATACAATATCATGATATTCCAGTTATTGTTACATCCCTGCTTTTAGGCCTCTTTTTTCTGTTTCCTGGGAACTCATACCTTGGCACCCTTTCACTTTTTCTACCCATCTTCTTTGCCTTCTCAATCTGGCATCTCTAACTTCATTTCCATGTCATCCATTAACTGCCCTTCTGTTCCTCTAATCTGAGTAGTTCTTCACCGTTCCCGAAGAGACACCAAACATCTTGAGAGATCTGCCATCTCTAATATAGAGCATTCAAACAGGCTCAAGCTCGCAAAGTAAAATCTGGACAAATTAAGCTTTTCAAATTGGCTTAAAAAGTGCAACAAAATATGTCTCCCGACCCCATCCAACCATATCCATCCTCTTACACAAACTAACTTCACATCCTCTTTTACAACATCCTTAAATCTACACTAAGTCAGGAGTCTCCAACCTGTAGCTCGGGAGTTACCAGTAGCTTCAAAGTAGCTCTCCAAAGGATTTCTGAATCATACAAATTGTGCTGAATAACTAAAATTGCATTAATTACCATGGTAAATATATCATTTTAAAGTGTAATTTGGATGAACTAATAAATGTCTAATGGTTTATGTATTAAAAGCATTTAACAGCACCCCATCTAAGGCTCACAGTGGCTCTTAGATACACATATATATATATACTGAATATACAGAATATGTACACTACCGGTCAAAAGTTTAGAACACTACACTTTTTCCAGTTTTTTACTGTTTACTGTTGACCAAAACATACTCTAAACTTTTGATTGAAGAAAATAGCCACCTTTGGCAGATACAACAGCTGAACACACTCGTGGCTCGTTCTTTTTACAATAGAAATCAAATATTTTTCAGAAAGTTTTTCCCAAGTCTATTGCAGAAGTTCCCATAAATGTGTGGCACTTGTAGGTTTCTTGGGTTTCTGTCCAGTTCATCCCAAACCAGCTCGATGGGGTTGAAGTCTGGAGACTGTGCTGGACACTCCATGATTTCAAGCTTGTTCTTTTTTTCCTGAGGGAGTTTTGTCAGAGCTTGGACTTGTGTTTTGTTATATTTTATCATCAGGAACTCGGACTCACTGCAGCACTTCAAATCACTTCTAAAAACTCGCCTGTTCAATCTGGCATTCCTTCCATGATTCCCCCACTTTCTACAGTGTTACTTTTTATTTGTTTGTAAAGTGTCTTTGAGTGCCCCAGAAAGCACTATATAAGTCCCATGTATTTCTTTCTTTATTTATTTATTTACCTTTGTACCATTTCAAGCTCTTCAGTGGACTTGCACGACTTGAACTGCAATAAATAACTGGAAAAATTTGGGTGTGCTAAAACTTTTGACCGGCAGTGTACATACTGAATTTCTTAGTAAAAATGAGTAGTTGTCTGGCATTTTCATTTTGTAAAGGTACTTCACCAGAGGAAAAAAGGTTGGAAACTCCTGATCCATACCTCCTGTCTCCTGAAAACAAACTCAGCGTCCTTCTAACTTTTGAAAACGAAACTGGGACCAATTAACAATTCAAAACCAATTATTATAGTATCTTTGGTCCTCAAAATGGCCGCGACAACATGAAACTGAAACCCATGCATAACTTAACCAAATTCCTCTTGATTTTTTGATTTTTTTCCACAGATGAAAGACAAGAAATACACTTATAAAATATGGAAATGTGTCTGTGTCGACTGCATTAAAGCCGTCAGCTCTCCATATGTGTGCAGTGAATAATAGATGGCGTCAGGGGAGGCTGTTTGCTGTTGTTTGCGGTGTTACCTCTGAGAGAAGATGTCTCGGTACGGGCTCCCGTGCTGCATAGCGATGCCATATCCGCGGTCTGGAGCGTTGTTACTGACGGTGTAGAAGGAGCAGTCTTCGTCGTTGTTGGCAACGTACTCCAAGACTGCGGAGTCCCACACGAAGCCGAAGCGACCGTACTTCACCTGGAAAGGAAAGAAAACAATGTGTGAAATAAACATGGAAACATGAAAAATGCATGGTTGAGAATTTGAATAACCATGTTCTGGAAAAATAAAATGAAAAAGTTTGGCCATAGGCTGGTAAAGTGTCTCCGTTGTTGCCCTCTGCTGGCAACAGTGGGAAGTGAAGCATGTTGAAAAGTTTAGGAGCAGCACGGTTATTTGGAAGTTGACTTGAAAGTATTTTTTCTTGTGAAGGAAGGACAGGATTGATTTTAATTGTCTTTATAGAGTTGTTAAACCATAGTTTCAACTCACACCAATATTTCACATCTTTATGTAAAATGTGCATTATATTATAAACATTTGTATAACTACATGCATTTTATATTAGTCATGATTTCTGAGAATTATGTGCCTGAAATAAACAATTGAATGAACCTTTTCTAATGAACACTCTGCCACTCGGATGTTCCATGATAGTGATAAACTGATCTATCTCCATGGAGACAAGCTGACATCACCAGGTCAAGTTACAGGTTAGATCTGTGGAGTGGTAAAAACATTTGGACTTCGATCATGTGTCTTTCACCCTCTTGCTGGCAACAGTGGGGAGTGAATCATGTTAAAATGGCTTAAGAGCAACAGGGTTATTTGCAACTTGACTTTTGTAGGAGTTTTCAGTTTGTCCAAAAAAAGAGTAGAAGTAAAAGGCTGGAGCCCAACTGGATGTCTTAAGCAGGAGAAGTTTATTTTCCATCAATAATTCAGGCCTGGGGGGACTTGAAAAGTCAACATAGTATGATTTCAGAAAGTGAACATAGTATGATCTTTGAGTGTTCAAGCCCCTTCGGGCCCGGATTATTGATGGTAAATAAACTTCTCCTGCTTAAGACGTCCAGTTGGTCTCCAGCTTTGGAAAACTGAAAACTTCTACCACATTGACGTCAGTGTAATCTTTATTGTGAATTTTCTGAACTTAGATTTTTATTTTTTTTTTATTGTCTTTATAGAGTCTTAAAGCTGCAACTAATACCAAAAACAATATGTGTATGAGTATAAGTACATGTATTTTACTCATGATTTCTGAGCATTCCTTGCCACAAAATTGAATGAAAATTTTCTAATGAAGGGTCTAGTACTTGGATGTTCCATTATACCGGTCAGATCTGTGGAGCGGTAAAAAGGTTTGGACTCAGATTATGTGTCTTTCGCCCTCTGCTGGCAACAGCGGGGGGTGACACATGTAGAAATGGCTAAAGAGCTCCAATCTTTTGTAACTTGAGTTGAATAGATTTTTGCTGTGAGTTGTTTTTGTGAGTTGTGAGGAGTTAGGCAAGAGATTATGTGTTGGAGACCTTTTTAATTGTCTTTACAGCGTCTTAAAAGAGAGTTTGCAACTAATAAAAAACTTTTGAGAATGGTGATAATAAATAATGGCAGCCCGCTGATCTTTGCAGCAGAATTGCAGGAGCCCTTTCATTTGAAACACCACTCAATTCAGATCTATTGTTTGAATTTTAATGTCCACTATATAAAAACTCATAAGCCAGGAGCGTCTGCTGCACTTTCTGACCTAATCTTTATTTGACATTCTTATATTTATTATTTCTCACTACAGTATTACGCAACAGTACAATTCTTTGTCCCGAACAACTGACACAAAACTCAGGTGTGAAATATCAAAAAACTCAGGTGTGAAATATCAGCGTTACTGAGACACACAGACAAACAGTACTGTATTTAAAGCTGCACTGTGAGTCCATCAAATGCTTTTCTCCATGGAGATCTTCATGGAGACCAAACCAGACAGCTCAGATCTGTGGAGAGGCAACTCTGCTCACAATCAGAATGCCTGTTTTTCTTGATATTTTCGAACTATGAAATCAAATGTAATTGAACAAATGTAAGGTAGAGCTGTTTAAAGTCAGACAGTGGAACATTCCAGCCAGCACAATGGTTTATCTATATAGAAACAAGCAGGTGACAGACCCCCAACCAAAAAGTTACACAGTGCACCTATAAGTATGATTTGAGAAACACATTTTTGCTGCACAATTTGAAATTTTCTGTCTTTTACAAATGGAATGAAATACACATTTGTAATGAATATAAACAAATATCAAACACACGGGCGCACACATTAGAAGAGGGGTGTCAAACTCAAACTCACAGAGGGCAAAATTAAAAACTGTGACAAAGTCGTGGGCCAACTAAATATTTATTGAAATATTTCAACAACTTCTTCTTTCGAGATATGAAATGTTAAACCTTTTCTTACTAAAATAAATGTTTAATAACAGTTTTGCTTAAAGGACTGGACAAAAGTTAGTTTGGTTGCAGGGTGTGAGGTTTAATTAGCATAGCAATCCTGTTATTATGCTAATTAGACCCCACACCCTGCACAGGTCAATAGGCCGAACTAACAAACAGAAACTGTAAACAAGTAGGTGTGTTAGTTTCAGTTAGTTAGCTCCTCCCTGCAGATATCAGGAAGTGTCCACCAGCATTCTGACCAGAACTGAAGAAGCTCTCCATGGATTCTACCTGAATGACTGAGGGATTCTTCACACAAGTTTTGAGTTTGAAACATTAAATCCAGAACAAGCAAAATATTAAAAAATAACAACATTTAAAATAAATAATGTCTCTATAGTCTATCTGTAACCAGCGAGCCAGCTTTAATACAGAGTATTTGATATGATGAGCCAAATATAAATATATTGTGGGCCAAGTTTGGCCCCCGGGCCTGAGTTTGACATGTCTGCACTAGAACACCAGACTAAAAATCTCGTAAGAGGCTCACACGTGCTACTTAGGTCTGCAGAAATTATAACTGATAGCTAATGGAGGTCAATGAAATAAAAACACTAAATTAAACTACTGTACCACTTAACCTGTATGCTTTTAACTGTATGTTTTAATAATATTTAACTTGTTTATGCTGTTTTAAGGCGACCTTGAGTGTCCAGAAAGGCGCCTATTAAATAAAATGTATTATCGTTATTATGACTTGTACATATACTACAGATATATAATTATGACTCATGTGACACCAGTCTGTTGCTATTTTTGCTACTTATTTAGAATTTATTATTACCATTTATATGTTTTTCTTTGTTATTATAATATCTTGCGATGTGTGAGCTGCTGCGTCCAAGTAATTTCCCTTGTGGATCAGTAAAGCTCATCTAAGTCTAAGTCTAAGAAACAGATAGTGTATTATAAAACTGTTCATATAGTCTTTTCAATTTAACCTCATTGCATGTAAGTTCATTTTTGATCCTATAGTCAAACTTTTCACAACAATACCGATAAAGAAAAGATTAAACCAGGTCTGTAACAGAACTATTCCAGGTCTAATCTGGGACTAAACCAGGTCTAAAAGTGGATTTACACCATTTCCGCTCTAATTCTAAACAAGAAATTAGCCAAAGATGGAAAAAAGTAGCACCACAATCTGAGAAACACTAGTCCAATATTTCATACAAAGCATTTATTCTGATGGAAATATGGAGATAACGACAGATTTTTTTCACAATATACCACTTTTATTAGAACTTCCTGTGTTCGACTGTACCTCTCACTCAAACCGTGCGAGCTTTGTTGTCGTCCGATTCTGATTTGCTCGCACCTATGTCCTTGTTATGGACAGCCGCATGTGCCGTGGAGTGCTTTTTGAAATTTATCTGCTATAACTCAAAAGGAGTAGTTAAAAAGCTGTCACCTGCGCTCTTAATTCATACTAAACATATTTATATTTCTCCAGGTGTTGAAAAATGTGGAACAAACAGCTCACAAGTCAGATGTCGGCGGTCACCTTGAAGCACAAATCAGTCAGGCAGCAGAGTTTAATGAACATGAGTCACTGTTATGAACTTGGTGCATCATTAACTTAGCGTTTGAGAGGCAACAATGCACTTTTCCAATCGTCTTTTGATAGGGCAAGTTCTGAGGAGGATGTGAGCTCAAATAAGTCATTCTTGGTCATTACGCTCAAAAGTCATTCTTCTCTCAAAAGTCTTAGAGGTCTGCGTGTAGTTCTGGTCTGTCCTTGTGTTTCATTTTCTGACTTTAAAATGGAAAATGGAAACATTGTAAGCAAGATAACTTGATTTCTGTAGCACTTTTGATCAACAAAAGAGTTTCCAAAGTGCTGCACGTATAAAGAAAAACATGAAAAACAACAAAAAAAGTAAAAAAAACCCAAAACACTAAAACCAGTAGTCAAATAAAAGCAAACCCATAAAAGCAATAAATAAATACATAAAATTAGTGATGGGCAAATGAGACGGAGCTCCGGAGCACGTCTCGTTCTTTCTGAAACAAATCTGCTCTGAAGCACTGCCTCGGAGCTCAGCGAATGTTCCACTCTGTGATTGGTTCAGAGTGCTTCAGAGTGTTCAGCGCACTTCCGTGGTTTGACAAGCGCTAAACTGCTACAGTATAAAAGATGCACCAATATTTCTTAAAAATGTTGGGTAGTGAGGAGTATTGTGTGACGTTAGTGGTGATTTTGGTGACTTTTGGCGACTTTTGGCATTTGTTTCATTTTCGATGGCATCTACAAGTGAAAAAAAAAGTGATCCATGGTTTGGGATCACTTTGATCTAATTCCACCTAACAAGGTCACCTATTTTCTTATTTACAGCATGTTATTTATGTTGCTCTTTACATATTATTTTAAATCATCATTATTGTTGTTGTTGTTAGGTACGGTGTCGCTCTGCACACAAGTATCGTCTTACACTAACAATACTTCATCGACCCTGAGACACCTGCGTGACAATGGTTACATTTGTCCACTAGAGGTCAGTGTTTCTCCGAGGCCTCAGACACGTCGAACCATTTGAGACAATATTGCGACTGAAGTGTCAGTGCTTCACGAGGCTCCATTCGCCCATCACTAAATAAAATCAATAAAACGATATACAAATTGAAATAAAATCAATATGAAAAAGAGTGTTTTAAGTTGTCTGGGATTCAGAATACAGGCTTCTCTGGCAGGCAACTCTGAACTCTAA